ATGATAACGACTGCTAATATAGCTCTAGCTGCTGCCTGCTCCCTTCTGACTGGCTGCAAACTCCCCACCCCCCACCCCCACTCGTACTCTCCCCCACTTGTAACTGATGGAGTGATGGATCACAGAGGGGCACTCACACAGAATTGAACAGGTAGGCTCGGCCATGGCTCCCCTGGAAAGACTGCAGAGACAAAGGACAGGAATTATACCCTGCCCCCCTCCCCCTGAAACAACCCTGGTCCCCACCATCCACCTTCATTCACTGCCGTGGGGAAGCTCACAGCACCCAGGGCCTGGCTGTGCACCGATAGGGCATTGCCGTGGGCAAGATTGGCAGTGGCAAGGCATGGCTGTGAGGAAGCTCACAGTGGTGGGGTCCTCAGCTGGGCACCGGCAGGGCCCGGCCCTGCAGAAGCTCACAGTGGCCGTGGGGAAGCCTGGTGGCTGGTGCAGGCCCCTGGCAGGCTGGAGCGGCTGTACCTTGGAGATGAGCTCATCGTGTTTGGCCAGGTGGGCCTGGCAGTGCACACAGCTGTAGGTGCGGTGGCAGTGCGGAAGGTAGCTGCGGAAGGTCTTGGTGGGCAGGCAGGCGGCGGGCGGCCCTGGCTCACAGCTGGGCATGACAGGCTGGAGGGCGATACCCTGGCGGGGCGGGGGGGCGGGCGCTGTGCACCCCCCACACAGTCGGTCGCAGGTGAAGCAGCGAAGCAGGTTGGCTAGAGCCGTGTTTCAGGGTGGGAAGAGTTTGGGGGGGCTGCACAGCCGGGGCCCCCCCAGATGAGAACCAGGCCGAAAGGGGAGTCACCTGCAGAGAACGAGAGAGAGGAGGGCAATGAATCAGGGGGGCTGACCCATGGCCAGAGCCCACTCTGGCTCCCTCCACCTGGGACACTGGGAAGAGCGCCCTCTGATAGGGAAGGGGAAAGGCTCCCCAGCCCTCAGTGCCCGCTCTCTTCTCCCCCGTGCGCTGCCCCCCAACCCAGAAAGCATCCCCCGCTAGAGCTAGAAAGGAAATGCACAGTCCTGGTGAACCAATTCTCTGGCTGGCCAACCTACGCCCCTGCGTTGGGGACAGCGCCCCCTGCTGGGACAAAGGGATGGTTCTTGTCATTGGGTCTCTTCTCCCCATGCTACTGTCACTGCCCTGACAAGAGCGCCCCCTGCTGGGACAGACCCATTCCCACCACTGAGCCCCAAGTCTCCCCAGCTCCCAACCCCCAGCCCAGAGACAGTGCCCCATGTGGTCACTGCCCGGAACTGCCTTTTAAAAAAAAACCCTGCCTGAGTTTGGCACCAGCCTGACCCAACTGACTGAGACAGCCCCCAACTCGCTGCATGAGTGTCATGCTCCCTCCTCGCTAGTGGACAACGGGCTCACAAACTGGAGCAGCCCAGTGCCAGAACCCCACAAGGTCGGTCCTCTCTTTCTCACCCAGGGAATAACATAAGGGACCAGCGGGAGGTGTGAGGTGGAAGGTGACATCTGGGGGCCGGGGACGGGGGGGTTCCCAAGGGATGAGCTCCCCGCAGAGAAGGGAAATGGAGGAGGATCTGACGTGGGAAAGTTGCAAGTGGGATGGGTGGGAGGGGATGGGGGGGGGCTGGGCTCTCTCGTCACGGGCTGGATTGATGGATGATGCAGAGGAGTGGAGAGACCCAGGCTCCGTTTGCGGGGCCAGCTGCGGCGGGAGGACAAAGTTTCTCCGCGCAGCCCTTGGCGCTCAGCCCCCCGCCGCCCCTCACCTTGAAATCTCGTCCCAAGCGCCCCGTCCGTCCGTCCCGCGGCCGCTCCTCCGGCGGAGGGGGATCGCCCTGGGGCTGTGCGGGGCGCAGGGGGCCGGCTCAGGGGGCCGGGGGACCGCGGCTGGGGGGCGAATGGGGCCCTGGGGCTCGGGCTGGAGCCGAATGTGGCTGTGTGTTGTGGCACCGCATCATAACATTGAGTCATCCCCCCCCCACCTCCCGCTACGTCAGAAAGGGGCTGGGAGGCGCGGGGAGGGAGGGGACCGGGGCCACTGGGGCTGGGCTGCGGGGGTGGGGGGCGCAGTGATTGGAGGGGGGTGAACATGGGGCAGGGGAGGAGCGGCGGGGGGAGGCTCAGGGCCAGCAGTACCCCGGGATGCGCGGGCGGCGCACAGGTAATAAATCATGTATTGCGCCTCTGACGCAGGGAGTGGGGAGCGAGAGACAGCTCGGGATCACGAGCTGCAGATCTGCGTGCGCCCCCCAGAACCCAGGCCGGGGCTCCCCGCTGCAGAGCAACTGCGACCTACCTGGCTGGAGATAGCCAGCGCACTAAGAGCCCCAAATCTGTGACAGCCCCAGCCCTGTCCCCCTGATCTGACTGCCCCAAAACCTAGCACCCACACGGCATGCCGCTCCCACAAACACTGGCACCCCCATCTGACTGCCCCAAACATTGGCACCACACGGCATGCCACTCCCACAAACACTGGCACCCCCTCTGACTGCCCCAAACATTGGCACCACACGGCATGCTGCGCCCACAAACACTGGCACCCCCGAACTTAATGCCCCAAACACTGGTACCCCCTGATCTGACTGCCCCAAACATTGGCACTACATGGCATGCTGCTCCCCCAAACATTAGCACCTCCAATCTCACTCCCCCAAACACAGGCACCCACATGGCATGCTGCTCCCACAAACACTGGCACCTCCAATCTCACTTCCACAAACACTGGCACCCACATGGCATGCCACTCCCCCAAACACTGGCAGCCCCTGTTCTGTGACAGCTCCAACACTGATAGCTGAATCTGCAACATCCCCAAACACTGACTCAGTTTTTGTTCCCCCCAAACACTGACTGGATCTGTGACCAATCACAAGTCACTGGAGCCCCGATCTATGACACTCCAAGTGGTGGCCTTCCCAATCGCTACCAAATAGCAACATTGGCTCATGATCACCAGGTATCCGGCATCTTGTGTGACACTCCAGCATCAGGCAGCCCCCCTGCCAGCCCACCCTGAATGGCATGCACCTTCTGAGAGGCTCCCGTGGCAAAAGGCTTCAGGCAGCTGGCCCAGGTAGCAGGGAGAGAAGAGGGGTGGGGGAAGACTCAGCACTACCCCCAAGCTGCCCAAGCCAGAACCCTGCCCCACAGAGACCCTCTGTTCTCCACAAAGCCTAGCCTCCAAAAGAGACACCCCAACCAGACCCTGGCCAGAAAGGCCCAAGCCAGAGCCCAGACCCTGAGAGAGATCCCCTCCCCCCCCCTCCATGTGCCTCAGCACGCCCAGATCTTTCAGCATCCCCCCAACTTAGGCTGCACCTAAATACCTCATCTACCCACCAGCACCCACTGACTTAGATGCACTCAGAACCCACTGAGCCACCGACAAGCAACATCTCCCCATACACACCCTCATACAACACCGCCCCAGCCTCGCTGCTGCTAAGTTTTGTGTGGCTCCATGTCCTGGCCCCATTATTGCTCAGGCCCGGGGGTGTCGACCACGGGCTGAAGTTTTTACATCCATGTGCGCGTTATTTGCATATATGCAATTCAACCCTTACATGATTTGCATACAATGTCACTCTTGCACAGCTGGGCAGCCGTGTGGCCCTGCCACGGACTTGCCCACTGGGCTGCAGCCGGACCCCCACTCCAGATCAGGTCCATTCTCCGCAGCACAGTTTGGCCTATATCTGGGAACTACATCTTCCGGCAGGCCCTGCGCTCATCCGCCA